CTCTGGCGGCTACTGGATCCCGTACGTCTGTCGACCTAGAGATCCCAGGAGCAGAGTCTGAAGCCGACTTTGAATGGCCAAGCGATGTTGCTCTTGCCAATGTCGTGGTCCCGTCGATGAGCGCTTTTAAACTTGCTTCGTGGGCTATCTCGGCCCTCAGATCTGCGTCCATGGGCGTGCTCTCAGGTGCTTCATCCTCGTCATCGACAGACAATAGTACCGCCTTCCAATCTTCTGCGGTAGCCAGCACCGTGACGGAGGCCAGATCCGGTGCTTCACTCTCGAGACCCCGATGAGGATCATCGGAATGATCTGGCTTCGGTCTGACAGCAGACCCACCAAGCTTTTGATCCACCTCGTCTGCCTGCAGTCCAATCTTGAGACCCAACGCGGGTCCAATCTGCCCAGTACTGACCACATCTGCGACTTTCTTTGCGTTTTCCGTCAGAACATCTGCAGGCTCGCCAGACGTCTCCGAAGGTGGAGGGCTAGGCAAGCGCACGCTGTATATGCTCGGCGATACGCTCGTGCTGCCGCTGGGTGGAGGACGTGGGGTGTCGGAGAAATTCAACTGTCTGGCACTGAGCTTCTGCTTCAGGATCAATTTCCGCTGCGCTCGATCTGCCAGATACTTGCGACGAGCGCTACGTGACCAGGGCGCGTGATAATCTGAGCATCGCGAAAGGAGGTGAGCTCAAGGAGAACGACACGAGGCGCGAGGGAGAGGCGACTTACCGGTCTGCAATGCCGCTAGCATAATCACATCGCAGTCGGCGCATACACATGCCCCACTAACGTTCTCATCGCCCCTGACGGCACTTCGCATGGGGGGACAGCGCAGGCGCTTTGGAGCCTGCAGGCTGGTCGGCAGCAAAGGCGTTTGGACAAGAGATTCACCTTTGCCGATCAAGAGTTCTTCGCCAAAAGTGCTTCGAGACTGGCCCACCTGCTCAGAAGCTTCCATACCCTGACCACCCTCGGCGTCTGGGCCAAAAACAAGAGGCTTCATGACAGGCTTGGGTCTCAGCGCCAGACTGCCGCTGGGTGAAATGTGTGCTAGAGGGCGCGCAACAGCATCCGGCACGTCCAAAGTCGGATCGAGGATGTAGCTAGCGAAGCTCTCTGATGGAGCAACGGGCTCAGGCTGGCTGTGTTCGGGTTGCAGCATCAGCGCAGCAAATTCCGCCTGCGGTCCATCCTCCTCCATCGCCTCTCTTCCACCAGTCCCTTGGCCCGAGGCCGTCTGCCCAAGCTCTGTTATCGGAATACGGCCATCTCCACTCGTCGGCCTCGATGGCGAATGAGAGGTTGATGCGGGCATTTCCGTGGCCAAGTCTGGTTCTTGAAGTTCGGCAACGGCCGCTTTTGAAGCGACCGCGTCGGAGTTGCACGCCAAAGCAGGCTGCTTCTTGCCCACGGACGACTCGGCGACAAGAGCCGAGGGCAGATATGAAGGCTGATCCTGGATGCTCGGCTTGTATTGCGTCGAAGCGACTCTTGAGCCACTCAAGGACCGGCGAAACAGTGCCTTGAGGCCTTTCCTCGAGTGTTCATCCTCAGCGGCACTTTCCGCCTGGCAAGTTCCGCTGGAGGAGGAGGAGGAGGCCAAAGTTTCCTTTGGTGTGGTGCTGGTGGATGAGGAATCGACAGCAGATGAAGGACCGGGTTCGGAGGCGCTGCCAAACAATCTGGGTCTCCTCAATCCTCGAAGCTGCGGAATGGATGCAGTGGACACGTTGACGCCAAACGAGGCCAGAGAGGGCGAAGGCAGCGATCTACCAGCGATCGTGATTGGCGAGGAGGCTTGTGCGAACA